ACACGAGAGTAGAAAACACCATTAAGTGAAATTCAGACTGAACTTAAACAAATAATATCAACCGCTACATAAGTTTCGTTTTTCAGTATGCAAGGATTATTGACGGAAATTCTAATCTGATCCTCGCTAGAGACTGCCTACAGGATGAAGTTGACTGGAGTTCTAGTGAAAATTCGTGGTCAGTGGAGTCTACCTGGTTGGGAGTGAGGACAAATAGTCAGCAGTGACATTGGCTGGTGGTCGCACGAAAATCGCGAATTGGTAGAAGTTGGGATTCGTAGGCTGATTATTGAATTTCATCCCAGTGGCTGAATGGTCTACTAGCTTTCCTTGCAAATGAAAGGCGCTGAATCTGAATCCTGGAGGTGGGTGCTTACTGATGAGAAGTCCCAAGCAGAGACGAAATGCCTGTCTAGTACTTCCTGGTGGTTTTCATTAGTTTTCTAACTGATATCAATCCGTGGTCAAACTTGAAACAAATCGAATCCCTGTAAAACTTTAGTAAATTCATGTGAACTGTGGTCAATATTTGACAGGATAGTTCTAAAATAACTGGGCAACGCGTGAGAGGTCGACGTACACCACATATACATATATATTTTTTCATATCCAGTTATCTGCAAACCTGAACTCTTAGTCGAACGTATATCACTAAAATTCTGATAAAAAGAAGTACACTCTGTTTAAAGTGTTTAACAAAAGTAGACTAATATTTGCAAGTCTGAGGTCAAATTTTGATCACAGCTCATACAATTTTGTTTTTACGAGTTGATCACGAATTGATATCAGTTAGAGAATCATTGAAAACCAGCACTGGAGTACTGCCAGACAACTGTTTCATCCTAGTTTGGGAATCATCGGCAGTACGCACCCACCGCCAGGTTTCGAACCCAGGACCTTCCGGACACGAGGCAAGCTCGTATACCATTCAGCCATACGACTGTTTCATTATTCATATGATTGGACAAAGTTTTTAAAAATCTCTGTTGTTTTAATTTCGATTGATTTCCCTGAAGATTCCCGAACGAAACATTCGAATTACGCATTACAATTTCGCTGAGATTTTTACAAATATAATTTTCGCAAATGTCAACTTTAGTAAGTATTAGAAACATCAAAACTATCTCATTGAACCGGGTACTTTATAACCAAAGGAATGCTAATTCTGCTGCAACACACAAATTCATTACTTATGAATTGCAATCTAGTAACAATGACTTTTCACTTAGTTTGAATTTCTTCAACTGAAGTCTCATTTGTAGAGATGCTGAAATACTTCCCTTACTCTGGTAATAGGTATATTTATACCCACGGAATTTTTATCACTGAAAATCCTGTCTAGAAGAATAATGAAAGTTTCACAAAATGAATTATCAGGCTCAGAGAACATATGAATGCTAAAAAATACATCGGAGCTTTTAAAAACAACCTCCCACATTACTTCAACCTCCATCAAAACAATTCAACTGTCACAATTCAACTGCTTGTAAGTGTGAGAGTTAAACGATTTAAACTAAATACAGTTATCCTTCCTCGGTGTCACAGCGGTTAAATACTACTTTGACTTTGTTGTACTATCTGAGCTGGTTGATTTAACCACGAAGCGTTCATTCTACCCCTTCTAGACAACCTCACTACAGCACAAATGCCACTATGAAGTGAATTTATTTAAATTCTCCATGAGTGACACAATTGCATTTCCTGACAACCATTTTCGTGATTTGCTGTTAATTTAATTGACGATTTTTATTGACTTGGAACCTGAACTTTCCACTTATCTCACTTATTTTCTATTATTAGTTTGTAGGGATTTGGTTGATTGATTACAGGATTTCATCATGAACTGACATTGGTTAGAGAACCACTGGAAAACCTGGGAGTACTGGACAGATGTTTCGTCCTAGTTTGGGACTCTTCACAGCACGCACCCAGCGGGGTTCGAACCCAGGACCTTCTGGTTACAAGGCGAGCTCGTAGACTATTAAGCCACTGGGACTCGAAGACATTGGCTAGCGGTTGCGTTATTTTCTATTATTTGGTAAATTTGATCTGTAGTAAATAAAGTGTCCGTTAATCGCTGATTCATCTGTGTATCAGGCTTCTAGAAATCCCCCGGCAGCTTCGATGTTTCCTCTGTTTAAATTGCCTACATTCTCCCGATCAAATTGGTGTCGATATGAAAGGAAACGTTTCTTTTCTGCTGACAGCTAATTCATATTCTTGGATTCTGAGTCGAAGGGGACACCCACTGTGACCAATGTAGTGTTTATCACAGTCCATGCAACTTATTTTGTAGATGGTATTGATCTAGCAACCCCACCCTGTAAACAAAGCTGCTACAGAAACTTCAGTACTATAAGTCTCCTTGAGACAAAAGAAAAAGTCTGTATGGGGACATGAAAAGTCTTCACCATGCATGATACTGGCAAAGCTGCCCAGATTGCAAACGGGGTGAAAAGATGCGGTATTCTAGTACTGGGAATATACGAAAGCATATGGAATGGGAGTGGACTCACTAAATTGTCAACGGGAGAGTCAGTGATCTACTCCAGTCACCCAGAAGACAATCACGGGCACGTCGATGGTGTAGCTATCATGATGTCACCAACGGCAACGAAGGCCCTGATGCAATGGGAGGCGATCTCGCCCAGGATAATGACCTCCAGATTCAACTTAGAAGGAAGGAAAGTGATAATTATACAGTGCTATGCACCCACAAAAAACGCAGACCTCGAAAAGAAGGGGGTTCCACAGACAACTACAGGCAACAATTGACAATACTCCAGTCTGTAACATTAAAATCTTAATGAGAGACATGAACGCCAAACTGGGACCAGACAACACAGGAAGAGAACTCATCATGGGTAGAGAAGCTCTCGGAGAAATGAATGAAAATGGAGAACTTCTCGCTGACTTATGCGCCTTCAATTAACTGGTGATTGGTGGCAGTGTATATAAGCAAAAGGATATCCACAAGGCTACATGGGTGTCACCAGATGGGCGAACCAAAAACCAAATCGACTTCATCTCAACGGTGCTCGAGGAAGTGGAGACGCAGCTTACTGGACACAAAATTAAGAAGAGGAGCAGACATTGGCTCAGACCACTACCTTGTACAAGGAACACTCCAAATCATATTAAAAACTTTCAAAGAAACAGGAGCTGCAGACTGACCACAAGCCAAGTTCAATACTCAAAAGCTAAAGGATCAGGATACAAAGGATATCTTCACTGCAATCATAAGGAAAAAGGCGGAGACACAAATCAACACTTTAAAATTTCTACATTTTCCTAATGAAATTGGTGTTGGTGATTGCCTACATTCATTGATATGAAAGGACACATACCGTGTCTTTTCACAGCTAATTTATGCTCCTGGATTCTGAGTCTGGAGGGGACGTCCACTTTGACCAGTGTAGTGTTCATCACAGTTAATGCAACTTATTTTGTAGATGGTATTGATCCTATCTTGTTTTGATGTTGGGTCTTTTGGTCTGCACAATATTGAATGAAGCGAATGTGTGTGTGTGTGTGTGTTATTTCCGAGATATTCTTTATAAATAGGAGAGTGAATGTTTTCATGGTTTTTAGTGTTGGTCTCTTGCAGGTATTACGAATTGAGTTTAAACACTTTTTGATGAAATTGTATGAGTTAGTAAATATTTCCTTTCTGTTCTCTTCAGTACTGGAGTGCACTGCAGTGTGTTTGAACTCTTTTAGACAATGTCTGTACACAGCTTCTTCTGTGAGTCATCGAATTACTGCTACCATAGCTGAGTATTTGATCTGAGAGTGTTGATATTCTCTATACTTGCGTTTCCAAATTTCCTCTATTAGTTCTCTTGATTGAGATATCACAGAATGGTATTTTGTTGTTATGATTCTTCTTCTCTTGTGAATTTGATATCTTCAAATTTGTTGATTAATTTGTGGGTGTACTCCAAATTATTTCTTTTAAATATAACCAGTGTATCATCAACATAACATACCCAGATTTTCGGTTTTATTATAGGTAGACTTATCAAATCTTTTCTTGGCATAACGGCTTCAGCAATTAGTTATGATATGGACGATCCCAGTAGTGTTCATTTTATCTGTTTGTACATCTGAACTGGAAATATGTGGCAGGCTCCCGGTTAGAACTCTGCGACTGACACACTCTATTGTTTCTCTGGTTTCAATTACCACCAAATAATACTGACAGTATCATGTATTAGTTTGCAGGGATTTCATTAGTTGCAGGTGATATCAGTTAGCGAACCACTGGAAAACCGGCAGGAAGTACTGGGCAGCTGTTTCGTCCTAGTATGGGGCTCTGCATTAGCATGCACCCACTAGGATTCGAGCTTAGGACCTTCCAGCTAGGAGGCGACCTCGTAGACCATTCCGTCACTTGTAGAAGTTGGAATTCGTGGGCCGTTGAATCGGATCCCAGTGGCTGAGTAGTCTGTGGGCTCGTCTCTTAACTAGAAGCCCCTGAGTTTGAATCCCGGTGAGGGTGTACTGATGAGAAGTGCCAAATCAGAACACAACAGCTGTCCAGTACTCCCTGGCTTTCCAACGGTTCTCTAACTGATGTCAACTGGTGATCAAATACCTACATCAGTCTGCCAAATTAATTCTAACTCAGATACTCAGAGCAATATGAAACTTGTATTTTTATCAGACATAAGTGTGTGTGTATGTGTGACATAGAGAGACAGAGGTATGTTTCTATCTCACCACAACCTTATTGGTGGTATTTTTCAAAATTTCACTGTACTCGTGTGTTATTGTTTGTTTGCTTATTTCAGTGTATTGATGAAAAATGGTGCCATGCAAGCATAACAAATACTCTCTCTCTATCCATATATGTGTGCAGCACAGCAGTACACAAAACCACAATGTAGTATGCATGAATATGAGTAGGTGCACGTGTTTGTGCATATGCATGACACGTTGCAACGCACACACACATAAGGTGACCAGCTCATTTAATGATAATCTCTTCACATATTAAATACAAAGTTACTTTCACTAATGAGTAAATGTGAATCAGTTTGAGTAAATCATTGTGGAATTACACTCAACTAATTATTATTGCTCAATAATGAATTGGAAAGTTTAATTCAACAGAAGCTACTAAAAAGGGGGAGTATTTTTTTCCCTTATTTAATCAAATATCAGAACAACTCAAGGATAAAGAAAATTTGTTTTTATGCAGCTAGAAAGCTAAAATTCACTGAAAATCCAGTTGTAACTTCCATAACTACAGTCAAATTCATCAATTTGAATATGCATAGAAAAGATTTTCAAAGAGAGATTAAAAATTTACGTTATGGAGGTTATGACTACTTGTTATTCTAACGCTATATTAGTAGTCTATTAAAAATTAATGTCAAAAATAGTCTAGATTATTTATCAACATACATTGTTTGCTCCATTCTACTTGAATATAAGCGAAAAAAGATAGATAAGTCTGCATTTAACAAACACTGCTAATTGCGATCCCAATACAATCATATCTGTGTATATATGTAAACATACTTAGACTTTTATTTGAATTCATTTAACATTGTACACTGTTGATAGCTTGAACATAAATGATGCTCACTTCGAATTGGATTATTATAGTATGTTTATACACTACTCTGGTCAATCAGTTTCAGAGTATTGGTGAGTACATTATTGATTTGCTTATTTATTTATTATTTTTCTTTTATTTCCTTCTCATATTTATGCGATAAAATGTAATTTTGTCACTTTGGTTCACATAAACGAATAGGGTATGGAAGGGTTATAATGTCTACGCCAAAAGAGATATAATTGCATAATCCTTCCACTATAATTTTTGCTATACATTTTTATTGGGGGGAGGGGGGGCTGACGAAATGATACCGGTATTCAGTTTGAAATTCTGTAATCGGATCTGAAATGCTCCAAGTTCGATTACTGTTTAATTCTTATAATGAAATAACACTTAGTCCCTTGAAGAAAAAATGACCACAAAGCAATTTTTGCCGCAGTTATCAATTTATATATATGAATGATCTGATATAAAAACAAGGTTAATTAGATAGCAACTAAAGTAAGATTGATACTTTGATTGGATACTAGTAACTAGTGTGATGTGTCTAGTCCTTTGTTTGGTGCAGATTGAATTCTATCAGATAACTTTGCAACGTGGCCACCATTCTCGGTACCTTGCCATCACGGTGCACATTTATTTGATGATATTGGATGGTTGGAAGCAATCGACGGGAAGCTTTGAACCTAGATTTCGTGCTAGTTGGTACTCACCAGTCAGCAAGGCGTATCTGCAACCTTGAAAGAACTCATGTGCCTTCTGAGATTTGAACCCTACTTCACCCAATGCTGCAGCCAGAGACGTTACCACTGAGCTATTTGGGCTTGCAATCGACCTCCTGCCTTCCACCATTTAATATCATCAAATCAATGTGCACCGTGATGGCGAGCTACCCAGAATAGTGGTCACATTGCAAACCTGACTGATAGAATTCAGTCTGCACCAAAGAAAGGACTAGACACATCACACTAGTTAATAGTGTCCAATCAAAAATATCCAATACAGTCCTTCAGGAGGTCAGTCACGAGCCCGAATAGCTCAGTGGTAACGTCTCTGACTGCAGTACTCACTGGGTGACGCGGGTTCGAGTCTCAGAGGGGACATGAGTTCCTTCAAAGTTGCAGATACGCCTTACTGTCTGGTGACTGCGAACTAGCACGAAACCTAGGTCAGACTGGGCTTCCTTGCCGATTGCCTCCAACCATCTAATATCATCAAATCAAAGTAAGATCGAGTTAGTAAGTTAGATGACGTTATATAACTCACTAAAATGTTTCAACTTAGGTCAGGATAGCAACAGAGGTGATTACAGGTAGAGACTAAGTAGATGTGGGGTAGAGAATAATGCCATTTAAATTAGAACTGAAATTGAGCAAATAAGTTGGATAACGTAACATAAATGCCTAGAAATTGAGCGTTGGTCAAGTCAGTAACAGTGGTAATGAGGTGTAGAAATTAAATCGGGTGAGGGTAGAGAACAAGTAAGTTGAATATGTAAAATATTACAATTGAAAAGACAAAATATGAATGAAGAGACAGAAGGGAAGAAATAGAATTTACCTGTCGGGTATTAAGATAGATTACGTCCATTGCAAGTGTAGTGATTGAACGAACTTCTTATGTATGCAGAGTTCAAAACTTAGCAAGTGAATTGCCATTGCCTCTGCAATTTGAAGAAGTTTGATTCGTACACTTTTAGGAAGATTGCTTCGTATTCTCTAGACAACTTTGAAGTTTGTTTGGGGTCTAACTTGGTGTCCGGAATATGTATATATGAAGGTTTCGAAACCAACATGTATCAGACACGTGTTTTGTACTAGTTTCACTGACTGATAGGTCATTCCACGTCTTGATATTTTCCTTTTCTTGATCGCTTTCGCCGTTATCTTTACTTCCACCGTATGTCACCTGACTTGGCGTTTGTTTATCCTCACATGTTTCACTAGGCTAGACAGTAGATGGACTGATTTCATTCTGCTTATTTCTAAGCTTATTCAGATAAAAATTTAATGATTTTTCAATAGACTACTATTTTATATATTTTGTTTTTGTTTTTTCAAATGCCAAGTAAATAAATTCAGTATAAATAATGATTTCACTCAAATAAATTTTTTTTCCTCTGATTATTTCACCATGTAAAAATGCAAATCACGCGTAAACACCCTCGATTGTAGACCTATAAAATTAATAAATCACGAAAATTTCATAGATATATGGATAGAATGGGCGCTGTGGTAGAACATAATACCAACCTTTCAAGGTCTTGATATGATTATGAGCAGTAAGTTGTGCTCAAAACGTTATCAGAAAATTATACTCTATCAATATGTATTTTGAGCTAGCATATAGACCGTGGTCAAGGTTTGATTTCTGGCAGAGGCACTCCTAAACCTCTCGTAGCCGGTAGTAGACGCATGGTAAACAGGGAAGGTGGTACGTGAAGATAGTAATCCACACCCTGTAAAAACAGTATCATTGCTACTGAAAATTCGAAGCTCAAAACTCGAAGTCCTATTTTCCAATCAGATAGCAAAAACGAGTGCAAGAAAATGAGTTATAGCAAGACAAACTTGCCTAGCTTTTGTTCCAGTATACTTGAATAGGTAGAAAAAGGGAGATCAGTCATGATTTGAATTTCATTGGATAGTCGTATTTGATATTGTGTTAGTTGCTTAGAATAAATTTCAACAGCTGGTTTTTAGGGATTAGATTTGTTTTTACGAGCTGATCAAGGATTGATATCAGTTAGAGAACCATTGAAAACCAGCACTGGAGTGCTGTCAGACAGCTGTTTCATCCTAGTTTGCGAATCATCATCATCAGTATGCACCCACCGCCAGGGTTCGAACCCAGGACCTTCCGGTTACAAGGCAAGCTAGCTCGTATACCATTCAGCCACCGGTATCCGACTCAATGACCAGTGCATGAATTCTAACTTCTGCCAATTCGTGATTTAGCTTAGAATAATGCTGTAATCATATCAGATGTTACGTTTATTCTTATCAAGGTATTTTATCAACTGTTTTTTACACAATTGAAATGTCTATCGTTGCCTTGGCTATAATATTCGCGAAAAACGCCTCACGATAGCCTTTATCCTCATATGTTTCTTTTATCAAATACTTTTGTTCTGTGATGGATGTTAAGAAGATTTAAAAGGCACTTTGATAAATAAAGAATATTCCTTCCTATAACCTTCTCCTCACCAGGTTCTACATTAATATGACAGTAATAATTAAAGAATTATTGTTATTAACAACACTAATGGTCATTTAAATTACATTGAATCAATAATATCGACAGATTTCACTTCAAAAGCATCAGTGAGAGGGAGATAATACGTAATAATATAACGCAGAACTATATGTCAAATAATTAAGGGAAGTAACACAGAAGAGATGAATTTATACGTTAGACAGCAGTCTAGGATAGCAGTGCTGGCTATTTCTGTTTCTTTTGCACACAGAGCTCTGTTTGATTTAGGCGAATTCCAATGGCCTGACACCCTTCAACAGTATCTATCCATGACCTTATGAAGGATCGTGTCCACGATCATTCAATCATATAAAATGTATGACGAAATTCATTCAGTAAGTTAGAATGCCATATTGCGCAATTTTTAAATCCTTTGTCTTACATACCATAATTATTCTTAAGCATTTTTCGACATTTATATCTCTAATGAGTTAAAGTTCGTTTAAAAGAGGTGTAAATATCAATTTTATGTACTGTCTGTACAACATGTTTCTCGATAGAAGAGCTGGGTCATCTGTTTTTACCATTATTAGGTTCAGAGGATTGGATATGCTTCTGAAGTCATTTAGGGGTATGCTGTAATACCCTCGTAGATCGACAAGTCCTCTTCATGTATGTGTGACCACAGACACATTTAAAGAACTTCTGTGGACAATGATTATCAACAAGAGGAGTTCATAAGGAGATATTAAGTGGTCAGAGCACCGAGACCCATTCTCCAACTTGTCACTAGGAATGAGGTACAAATCAAGCTAACCTATATGGGGGATCATTATAATTATTGTTTTCTCTAATTCCTAGAGTAACATAGGACTTAAGCCGCACGTCTCCATTCCGTTCGGTTGTCTGCCAACGTTTTCACCTGGCTTCACGTCTGTACACATGCTTTCATCTCCTCTTCACATGACCTCCTCCAAGTCACCCTTGCACTGACGACCAACTCGCCGCTTCCCTTTTGGCTTCCACTCGAGCGATGGCTTGTTTAATGATGTCACTTGATGGTTTTCTCAGAGTATAGCCAGTCCATCTCCATTTCTTCCTGCGGATTTGTTACACAATTGGTTCCTGGTTGGTTCGCTCCCAGAGATCTCTATTGCTGATCTTTTCTGGCTATCAGATCTTGAGTTTTGAGCGAAGACAGTTGTTGATGAAAGTCTGTAGTTTATTCCAAGTGCTCTTAATGACGCGTCAAGTCTCCGATCCACATAGTAGCACTGACTTCACATTGGATTTGAAAATCCGTTTCTTATTTTTCATGCTGAGTGCTATTGACCTCCACACAGACTTGAGAGAGATGAAAGCTCGCCTGGCTTTCTCGATCCTCGCTGCTTTGATATCCTCATCAGTTCCGTTCTCCTGTAGTTGAAACGATTCTTTCTAGGTCGGTAGGTAAAGGAGGTTACTTCTTTCATTATCAGCTGTGGGGTCATACCAGCCTGATAAATAAACAAAGATTGAACGTTGCGACTGAAAAGATTTTTTATCCTGCTAAGATCTTAATAATTGAGAATGTGAAGTCTGTATATCCATCTAGGCCATCAGAGCATAAGAAAAATGGTGTCATACCCTGCTTTATCTACTAGTTTATGTGTGCCTGTGCTTACCATATATAGGGAAGACTTAAGGTATGTCCTTAAATGTCTTCAGAAACAAATCCAATCCTCTGAACCCATCAATAGTGATGAAAACAGGCGACCTAGCTCTTCTATTGGGAAACATATTACGGAGATGTCAGATGAAACTGATACTTACACCTCTTTTAAACTTATCTATAAAACGTGTTTGGAGGGAGGGTGACCTGAAGTTTATGCAATCCTTAGAGTTTAGGAAATTG